GTGAAATTGACAAAGTTTCAGTGGTCATCTCGACTGGAATATGCTATCTTTACAATTTAGCAGCACTATTATAGCCTGTTTAAGATAACCTCTCGTCGCTTCGTTCGAATATAACCTGGTGGCTTCCTGCGTTATAAAGGCCGTTCTTTACTTCGTGAAAGAATGCTAAAAAAGTATGTGGACTGAACACTTGGAGAACCTTCCGGCAATCCTCATCAATAGATTAGCTCGGTTCTTCAAACGTTACCGATCTGAATGCGATGTTCCTATTCAATAGAAAGGGTGCCATAACGAAATAGATCACATCACGGTGAATAGAAAGTATAGCCGAACTGATGTCGCTGTTGTCTCAAAATTCTACTCGGGTTTAGAACATTCCCTCCATCGTGCGAGACACCACTTTTCGCGGAAAGGAGGGGAAGCCCCTAAGTTGAAAAAAGAAACCTCGAAACCGCCACCAACTGAATGTTTAAGAAATCAAAAGATCTACTTTCTATAAACCTCGGTATGAATAATCGATATACTTATTTGTTCTTATGAAGTGATGTTGTTATGTTCCTTGCTGAGCCGATGCGAGGTTGGTATAAGTTGTTGTTGTTATTGTTGTTTCTGTTGTTGTTGTTGTTGCTGTTGTTAACTCTTTTATTTACTGCCTTTTTCTTCTTAATGGCGGGGTATGTTGTGAAATATAACTCGTATGAAGTGCTGAGATATCTGCAAAACTCCGGACCACAGGTGTATGCAGCGGGGAACGAACACGCGCTGCGTACACTTGTGGTTCGGAGTTTTGCAGATATCTCAGCACTTCGTACGAGTTGCTGTTGTTGTTGTCTTTGTTCGATGGCTGTCGTGCGTTTCGACGATTTCCACTTCCTTAGATACGTGCTGTTATGAGTGGGACTCTTGAATAGATGGCCAGCTGTTGAGAAAATTCCGTTACTGAGAGCACTGAGGAGAGATGCGATCGGCACATCAAACATCTTCACGTTTGTGCTATCAAAGCCCAATGTTAAAAAAACTCAAAAGTGCTCCGCTTTCCAGAAACACTCGAGTTTATACGCCTTAATAAATTCGCACGGGCTAAAAAGCATTCACACTGTACACCAAAACTTGAACAGTTGTAAGACAAAGATAATTCCACTCCCACGCCAGGCGGGAAAGTTACAGCGTCCAAAAAGGCAGCGGAGAAAACCATTGACGATTACTACTCAGATTTCCTCAATAGCCAAGTCCTCTTGCCCTTATATGAAATAAAGGATGGATATGTTGTATCACCTGTTCTCTCCGGAAATCCGACATGTTATTTCATCGGTGAAAAATCAAATAGCAGCAAGTCCCCAGAGGTCACGATCCCAACACCCGATTAACCTTCCTTCAGTCCTCATAAACACACTGGCTCGGCACTTCACATGATGCCTGTGAAAATACATAGTTCCTACTCCTCTGGAAGTCCAACAGGATCGTGTTATCGTTTAAGAACCATTATTTCGGCAACTGTCGCCCAATCCGTGTACTGTCCATCGTATGTTAACTTCCCACTCTAGTTGTTTCAAGCAGGCTTGAAAAACACTGGACGAAGAAAAGCCATATGAGGAAGCAAGGGTTCGATAAGGATTCAGTACGATGGATCACATCCACACGATAAACGAGACTCATTGAAGTGTTGCTAGAGTAGAAGAGACCACCCTGCCTCATTTTCATCGTTATAGGGAAGAATATTTCTAACTGTGTTAAGATAGTAGCAGTCACGGAAGTCCTGGACAACTAAGGAATCCTTACTTATTATATAATGTTTCTTCATGAATTGTACCAAAACTTGGTAACTAAAATGCCGCAGTTCTATGGCGATGTTATCATCGACATCAAAACAGTGGTTAAGCAAAGAAATCCCTTCTCCCCAAAAATGTTCACCACCTCTCTCGAGAACGTAAAGCCAACGCTGGAATAGGATAGCGTGTAAGTGAAAATCAAAGGATGGCAATTACACCAACTTCGCTTTTCTGAATACGTCGTTCTTATAACACCAAACATTACCCAAACAGAACGAATGCTTGTCGACTTTGAAGAACCCTGTGCAAGGATTGGTCTTCGGCAAAATTTCATAAAAACGATGTTCATGAGCAACGGATTTGTTACGCATGCCCCATTCACACTCAACGGAATGGATATCTCCGAGTGCTCCAGTTACGTCTATCTAGGTCGGAAAATCAACATCAACATGGTAAAAGACTTAGCTCCAGAATTTATCAAGAGGAAGCAAGTGGCATGAAGAGCTTTCAACAGCATCGAAGACATAGTGACGTGAACAAGGAACACATGACTGTTTAACCATCTCTCCGACTTCACAATCCTTCTTCCTTTAACGTATGCCTCAGAAACCTAGCCGTTACATAAGGAGGATGCGAAGTTGCTGGACGTTACTGGACGTGCAAAGGAAAGTGTGGGGATGGGAGTAACCTAAATGGAGCGGGTGAAAAATAGAATGACAAGTTCTGATGTATATTAATGATCAAAAGCCAAAGACGACTTTTTACCCAGCAAAAAATAAAAAAAATTGGTGAGCTGTACACGTGATCCGTGTGAACGACAACCGATGGAGAAGACCTGCTAGTAAGTGGTTTTCTCGAGATCACAAACGCTCAGGAGGGAGACTACAGACCCGATAATCAAAGTTCTTCACGAAACCCTTGCCCGGATGACATGATGATCAGCGAGTCTTTGGAGTAAGCAGAAACCACCATGAGTAGTCTTGCACTTTAAAGGAAGAAATGTAGGGCTTACTGCTGTTCGTTTAAAACATTTAAGGATTAAAGCGAGAACGGTTGATACAGGTGAACCGATGAGCAGCAACTGACGTTGCAGAAACTCTTCAAGCACTTGTTCTTTAGCTGCTCATGCTGTTTTTCTCCTTCGGGGTCTTTTACTTCTTGTTTGGAGAGCTTTGCGATCTCTAACGGTGTACGAATTCCAGGGTTTCAGAGACAGATTTCTATCGCTAATTTTCTTCAGGAATATCGTTTTTTGATGGTGCAGCTTCGCTTCGTTTTCGAGAGCCTTAGGAAAACAAGAGGCGGTTCGACTTCGAATGGTTGTTTGTTAATTGCTTTTTAGAACTAACTTCCAACTTTAGGTGTTTTTTATAAAAGGATAATAAAGGCGAAATATGAATGATGTAATGAAAAAATTAATTTTTTCTTTATCTGATAGTTGAGCTGGGACCCTATACCATAGGCTGGCTGCTTCGATGTGGCTGGTAGGTGTTCTTAGGCGTCGGGTTGCGATTTACAGCTGAAGGACCCATCCAACCGGTAGGGTCTCTCAAAGCTGAGCAGGAGTGTCCAGCATTTCCATCATAAAGCCCAGCTAAAAGCAAACCAATGCCAGGATCCATTTTCGTCTTGGTATAAAACTAGTCGTATGGAGGCAAATCTCGCTCTGATCCACAAGGGTAGCGACTGCCTGTGGTGGTGACGACCTAGGACTTTACCCAAGCTGACCTCAGGACTCCAGTGAGCCACAATGAATAAAGCAGCAAAACTCCGAAAAAATGGAAATTATGCCGGGCTTCACACATCCGGTGAGGACAGGCCATCCAACTATCCAACTAAGTAAACTTAGAGCATAGGTGCGAAGGAAAGGGAAGCAGTTTGACAACTAATCCTTAGCAGAAGTAACCTAAGGAATTGAGTGATTGAGCAAGCAAAGAATAGATGTCTTGTGCAGCAAAACAAAGTTTGCTTCTGCCTTTTTCTAAAACTTTAGTCGACACTGCTTCAAGTTGAGTGCAAGGAAACAAACATCAACATCAGTGAATGCCTTAATAATATTTTTACGCTTCAGAATGAAAAATTCGGTGGAAGATTCATACAAATCAGTGAGTGTGCGAAGAAACTATTTCGCTACGAATGCGATTGAAATCTAGGTCTCGTGATTTTTCTGTTTGGGGTGGCTGAGGTATTTGTTTGACCAGATTGAAGTCAATTTGACTTTTTCAGGCGCTGAACAAAGGAAAATCCACGGAAACATCACCTTTTGTGAATAAAAAAATATGTAATGACACAGCAACCTTATGTGCTTATCTAACAAAAACAACGAATTTTATTATTCTTATTCAATAAACAGCGTCACTAAAATAAAGATATTCTGGAATTCTTTCACTCCGTGGCTCTTAACTATGAACATCAGTCTCCCACTTGTATTCGACCCAACCGAATTTCCACTCATTAGGGTGACCAATATGATTGACTTTGTCGTTCTGAAAAAAACCGGAAAGCTTGAAATATTTTTGCTTATCCTCGAACGGTTTACTGCATCATCGTGGCTAGGAGGTGTTTCTTGGAGTTGGGCTGCCATGTTACATCGAGACATTCATCCTCCCATAGGGTCTTCCACAGGAGGTCCAGCTAACAGTAAACCAATACCAGGGATTCACCACAGTTCTGGAATCAAACTAGTGCATGGCGGCAAATCTCCCTCTGATCTACAAGGGCGGCGATTCTCTGTGGTGGTGACAACCTGAAGAGGACTTTGGCCAGACTGACCTCGGAACTCCAGGAAAGCACAATGCCTAGACCAGCTAAACTCCGAAAAATAGAAAATATGCTGGGGCTCGTACAACCAGCGACGACGGGTCCTCCAACTCTCCAAGTAAGTAATCACGTAATGAATTAAGGGATAAAGCGTTCTACGTTGACTAATTCTTCATGGATGCACTCAATAACTTTATTTGTTCTAGAGGTGATTGAATGGATATATAGACTGAACAATGCCTCAATGTTGCCTACCGATTTATCAGATCAGTGCTACTAACCTCCGTGACTGGTCTTGTGCCAATTTTCCGACCGCAGCAGGAAGGAGGGGCTGGTGATCATGGATGAGGCATCGAACCAAAGGCCACGTGTCTATTTCAGGGTATCTCTAACCACTGCACTATATGCGATGACCTATTAGTCGATCCCAATAAAGTTTATAAGGATACATTGTGTATAACGTCAGGTAGCTCAACGTACGAAATCGGAAGTGCTCCATTTAAATGCTGGCACAAATCCCCATGTTGGTCCTCCTTGAGCACGGAATTCCAGATTCTTCATCATACTGAAGTTTGTTCCCTAAAAATTAAAGACTACCATGATGTTAACAAAAAGTGTGGTGCCAAGCAATACCGCATTTTAGTGCCACCTTGTAATCGAGCGCACCATGATTGACGTGTCCTTGCCCGGGAAATTCGTATGTTCCATTTGCTGGATTCAAGTCACCGCGTGCCGAAATTGCTGCTTCAGCCGAATATGGTGGATTACATTTGCATTTCGAAAATTCCTCTTCCTTGTAGTTGTTATATCTAAAAAAATTTGATGAAAATCGTAACGTATTCTAGAAGTTTAAGTTTATTCCAAATTTAGAATCAGGGCATTCGTAAGTACCTATCTAATTTTCTCATATTCTTCCTTGTAACGGCTACAAATGATTTATGAACCACTTCTGCCTAATAATCGCTTTGAGTGATTACATGTAACAGATTGATTCGGGATAGAGTTCAAATTCGTTAATAGTCGCAAGTTCTATATGGAAGAACGCACAGAATTAATGAAGTGAATTTTCACTACCACTGCATAAGAGCGTCAACTTTTCTCTGAAATCTTTCTCAAATATTCATGCATGTTAAGCTGTAAGAAATCTCACCGCATTAGTCTCGTTAATGAATCAATGTCGATAACAGTATGATGATCTCTTTCGAAAATCCTAGCCCGAGGTGATTTTCCCCAGACGAACCAATCACCGAGTTTCTTTCCCTGATGAGTGAAACGATACTGTGGTAATCACTTTCAGTGCCAAGCATTATTACCCACCTGATTAATAAATCCACTCATTCGTGTGATTTTCTTAAAGTATGGAATATTATAGGACGGAAAATACGAGTACTTCTCAAGGAACCAGGTCATATCTTGATATACTACAGAACCACTGAAATCAATCGTATACACCTTCATTGAGAGGTATTTGCCATTCATTTTTTGCTTAAACTTTCCATCATAAATAATGGACAAGAACTTATTAACCGTTATGATTTATGAATGCTTTTAGGTATAAAACTTTGTAAAGGAAGCGAGAAAATAGTTAATTGAAAGCTGAAAATACCCACGGCATTTGCTCCAGATTATACATTAAACCATGTTTCGGTAATGGCTTGTTAGGTGTGAATTTGTTGTAGTCAACAACGACCCTTAAATAAATGTCTCACAATTCATCAAGTACTTCTACTGTTTTCGAAGTCCTCTGGCATTCAGATAATCACTTTATTCCACTGATAAAATCGATTTTTCATCGAATGCTCATTACCGTCTGATAAAACAAATCCCTTAATGTTCTGTTAGCATGGAACAAATGTTGTATACGCGCTTTCTGCTTACGAATACTTAACAATTTATTAATAACTTAAGCCGCTACGCTTATACAGCATTTTTTCTTTACCGCTTTTCTATTTAGACTGGTATATTATATAGATATATTTAGAATGGTGATAAAATCCCGCCAAAATCATTCACAACAGCATTGCAGTGGATTTTAGCGCTGGCATGGATACATGAAGAGGATTTTGTGATGAATCTTCTTCAACCGTAGATTTGCTCTTGATAATTCGTATTTCTGGTGCAAATTATTACGGAGACGACATTCGAAAGGAATAGCGACTCAGAACAAATAATACGAAGAAGGCCGTTGTTATAAGAAATGTTCATTCGAACACAAAAACGCTTTGTGGATCTATCTTGTACGTTGTCAAAATGAACGGCGACTTGAAAGAAGAACAAAAGTTAAGGAGCATCTGGAATTACATTCTTTTCTTCGAATCATAGATAACACTCGATCACATTAACACCATGCGCGGCATTCATAATGTGTTGAAGAAAACAATTTCGAAAAGGAGGTTAAAGATAAAAGGATAAAGGGTAAAGATCTCGGTGTTGATCAATCGTTGAGGTACGTACCATGCATTCGCCTTCATCAAGCATTGTTTGGAGGTAGATGAGTGCACATCGGACCTTTACACTCGCGGATGGCAACTGATGTATCGAGCCAGTGCTGTTATCCTTCCAGATAAGTCTGGTACCAATTTGCCGATCACGGAGGGATGGAAGGTTTGGTGGGACATGGGCGCGGGGATTGATTCCCCGTGTGTGTTGTAGGGCACCTCCGACCACTGCGCCACACGCGCCCTGAGGTCAAAGATGGACCAATAATTTTGCGAAAATATCAATAGGGAAGACAGAGTAGAGCACATAGATTGTAACGAAATTGGAGGCGATCGGTAAGCGGCAGAGAGATTTCAGAAATTTTGAACATCGTGAGTTCCCTCGTTCGTCATCTGTTTTGATCAATGAGATTTGTAGCTGACAACTTCAGCCAGACCACAATTGTGGAGAAAGTCGAGGATGTACAATGTCGAATATTAGTATAAATGGCCATGAAAGATGTCTAGAAAGATTAACCGTGAGTAGTGAGAACTCACAAAGGGGAATATAAAGTGTTTATGAATGTGCGAAACTAACCATACCATTGATTATTGTAAGTTCCGGAATTATATCTAGCATACAATTCACACCATTCTCTAGCATCTCTTGCCATTTGATTCGCAACTATCGCCCGAATCCATGTTGGCAGCTGAAAGAAGTGATAAAATAGGATTCAACAAGTTCTATTCTAATCCTTTCTCTGCACAGCATTTAATCAGTGGAGCCTTTTTCTTAATAAATTTTTCAACCATAAAATACTTGTTATGACATCATGAAACATCTCACCTGTCCGATGGGTTTTGTGTTATTGAAGAGACTCACATCAAAGACACTGATCGTCGTTTCGATTACAGCCTAAACGTGAATGAAAGAATTCACGTTATTTTAATAACATTTCAATCTTTCTGAATTAAATAGACTAACTAGTCCAGAAGACATTAGAGCAAAATCATCGGAAGAGTATAATAAACCGGGATACGAAGCCATAGAAGTCGTATAGCCAGGGAAAAATTTGCGTTCTAAATTCACCTTAAATATGTCTTTACTCTTTTTAACTTCTCGTTACTTTTGCCATACAAAGAAGTGTATGGCTTTGCCATATCAGCTATGTCGTCTAAATCTCGAATCTTCTACAAAACGCCTACTTAATGCTGCTAGTTTGAAGACGTATCATGAATTAACTACGTGTATACTTACTTGGATACTTGGATCATCAGTCCTCACTGGTTATGTGAGCTCCAGCATTATCTCCATTCTTTCGGAGTTTTGCTGATTTAGCCATTGTGGTTCCCAGGAGACCCGAGGTCAGCCAGGCCAAAGCCTGCCCCAGGTTGGGTTGACACCACCACAGGCAGTCGCCGTTCTTGTGGATCAGAGGGAGATTCGCAACCACGCCTCTAGTTTGATACCAGGGTGACGGATCCTGGTGTTGGTTCTCTCTTAGCTGGCCTTTCTGATGGAAACGCCGGATTCTTTCTCAGCTTGGGAGACCATGCCATGAATGAATCCCCTTTTTCACATCGTAGCCCGGCACCCAGGATCACCTGCCAGCTACGATGAGGCGGCAAACCGTTGGGAGGATGTACTTGGATAAGTTGTATAACCTATTTTCCTTCACTTGTTTTCGTTAATTTGTAGTTGAACTCGTGTTTAAAACGGGCTGCATCATTAAAATCACCAAATGTTGTTAGTGAAAAAAATGTTACCACTGCATACCCGTTAATCTCTGCTACAAAAGTGAACATCAAATTTTTGAATATAACTGGTTTATCAGTGGCAATGGATATAAGGAATAAAGCTTTCGGCGTTGATCAATCCCATAGGCATGCTTCCACATTCAACTCTATTTGCTACATCGTAGAGTTGACCGAATGCATATTCAATTTGTACAATAAACTTACTTGGCCGTATCTACGCCATAAATTTCTATCTTCTTATCCTCCTAGACAAGTTTGGCAGCAATTTACCCCGCTCAGAGGTTTGACCTGGCCGGGGTACGGCATCGAACCAAGACCTCGTGTGGATTGCTGTGCATCCTTGTCATTACGCTCCAAGCACATTTATATCGGAAGTGACTATGACTAATCCAGTTGATGTATCAATTTCAATGTGACTTACCATAACCGAATTTGTAAAGTTTAAGAACTCTGAGCATGTTCTGATATCCGCTCATTGTTACTTGTGAAACAAAAAGGTCAGCATTGTTCGGTGCTATCTATAAATAAAGACTTCGTAGACAGACATTCGTTGTTACTACAATACTCAAGTGAACATAATTTTTAGAGCTGCTTAGTAGTGAAGTGAAGAAATGCCCTATCTCACCTTAATTAGACCAGAACAACGACCTCCTAGTAGGTCAGTGACAGGGTCTCTTGTTTTATTCAGTTTCTTCTCGAGATCATAGAAATCTCCATTCCAATTCATCAAACTTGAAAAGAAATAAATGAGAAAGTGTGACGGTGATGTTTTGTTTAGCCAATGAATACTAGTTCAACTTGTATTTATTATATTTAAGACCTTAACAACGAAGTTGCAGCAAAAATCTTTGACTCGTTGTCTACTCTAAAGGAATACAGCTGCAGTTGTATTAACGCAAGAGTATAGAGTAGTTCCATGATATCCCCTCAACCAGTTCTATTGAAAAACTACGTTGTCACTTTTATTTCAGCAAGTAAAATTAGGTAAAATATAGTATTTCTGATGGCTTCGAACAAATCGCCCCAAATATGCACAGAATGAAGTGTTTTTTTTCTGAAATCATTTTAGTATTTTGAACTTCCTTTAGAGATCGGTAGCTATCTTACAGTATAGGGTGAATTTCGAACGTAATTTCAGGCTTGATTGGCCTTCCTTCGTAGCCGTCGATCAAACCGGTAAGTTGATAATATGTTCGATTCACCTAAAAATAGAAATTGCTTACTCATATTTAACGAATTTAAATTTAAATAACTGCTATCCATAGTGGGATTGGAAATAGGTATTACACTTTTTTCACCTATCTTTCCTTCGTTTTTGATATTACACTGAATACTTCGCCAGTCTAGTAGTGCAGGCCTTTATTACGGAAAAATTCGTACTGCAATAATTAGGCGGAATCGTTCGGCAAGGCGTGACTGGGCTGTTGGCCGACACAATTTCTTTACCAAAACGTACAACGAACCTCACGATTCGTTTGCAAATGTCACTCAAGAGACTATTTTCTTACTTATTACCATAAGTGAATTCAAATTCTCTACTTTTTTTTGCTATAAGATCGGGGTTTTGAATAGCACACACCAGGTCCGGGCAGGATAAGATCTGAACACCTGAAGAACCTTCCACCAGTCCTCGTAAACACAATGGCCCGACTTTTCACATATTATCCGCCTTAATGCAAGGTCCCCACTCAATGGAAGAGCAGTAAGACCGTGTTATTGTTTAAGAAGGGTGGCCTACAAGATAACGGCAACTATGGACCAAATCTGCTTACTGTCTGTCGTCTACAAACTTTTCACTCGAGTCATCCTAAACAGGATTGACAGAACACTGAACGAAGGACAGCCATGTGAGCAAGCAGGGTTTCAAAAAGGATTTAGTACGATGGACCACATCCACACGATTACAAGGCTCACTAAAGTATCGCGAGAGTACAAAACAGCGCTATGTCTCAATTTCATCGATTTAAAAAAGCCCTTTGACTTAATTGTGATAGAAGCAGTCATGGAAGCCTTTGTTAGTCAGGGAATCCCAACTCAGTGCATAAAGATTCTACGAGACCTATACAAGAATTTCACAACCAAGATATCACCATTCTACAACTATGTTCACATTGACGTCAGAAGAGGGGCTAGAGAAGGCGATACCATTTCGCCAAAATTATTTATGAAAATCGATGGTCGGCAATTTGGCAGTTACCATCTTCGCTTTGCTGATGACATCGTCCTTATAACACCAAACATTAGTCAATTGAACCGAATGCTTACTAACTTTGATAAAGCTTGTAGAAAAATTAGTCTTCGACTAAATCTTAGAAAAACGATGTTCTCGAGGAACGGATTGGTTTCGTATGCCCCATTCATTCACACTCAATGGAACGAATATCTCCGAATGCTCCAGCTATATCTAGGTCGGAAAATCAGCATGTTGAACGACTTAGCTCCAGAGCTGAGCAGGATAAGAGCGGCTTAGGGAGCTTTTAAGAGCACCGGGGATTAGTAAAGAGAAGAAAGAACACGAGACTCTATGCCCACCTTTTCGACTCTGCGGTACTTCCTGCGTTAACGAATGAGTCAGAAACCTGATTGCTGTGTAAACTGGATAAAAAATCAGCGTTATTTAACGTGCAGTCGAAGAGACGAGGCTAGGAGTATCGCGTGCCACGCAACTGAGAGAAGGTATCCGAAGCTCCAACGTGCGTCAACGATGAAAAATCAAAGATGCCGGTCTGTACGCCAAACAATGGAAGATAAGGTGGGCCAAACACGTAATGCGTATGAATGACAACCGATAGACAGGAGCCGTTAGTGAATGGATTCCTCGGGATTTCAATCAAACACATTGCAGGAAGACCACCGACCTGATGGTCAGGGTTCCTCACGAAAAGCCAGTAAGGAAGATATGATGCTAAGCGAGTCTTTAGGACGAGTAGTTCCTACTTCACCGCTCTTGCACGCGACAGGGAAAAATGGAAGATTTACTGGCGCATCCTCGAGTTACTCGACTTGCAACGGAACGCCAAGTAATACAGATGGTGATCGAGGTGAGGCGTTAGCATATCATGCGGACGACTGTACATCTTTCATTCGGTTCGTTGTCAAGCATCCGTCATCCATAGAGGTCTTCGAATTCGACTTCTAATAGTTAAGGATTTTCGGTCATTTCTGGATAATCTTGAGTGTTCGTTGACTTGATTCTCCCTGCATTCCTAGGCTACCTTCACTGAGGCATTTTCGGGTACTTATCATGAACAGTCTTCGTCGACCACCTTACAGAAATAAAGAAGCTTACTTGGTCTGGAACGGAGTCTAACCAGTAACCATGCAAGCATAATCTAAACTGTCTATCGTTACAACCACAGTGACGCTGAAATATTTGCAAAACTCCGGAGCGCAGGTGTCTGCGGTGAGGAACGAACGCGCTATTTCGCTTTCCGGGGTCAAACGCATTCGCCGTCACACTATGCGGGTCCATCGTTTTGCCTGTCAGCACGGTATTATGTGTTTTGCAACCACGATGATGCTGAGATGTTTACAAAACTCCGAACCGCAGGTGTCTGCGGTGGGGGACGAACGCGCTATTACGCTTTGCGGGGGCTAACGCGTTTTCCACCNTTCGCCGTCACACTATGCGGGTCCATCGTTTTGCCTGTCAGCACGGTATTATGTGTTTTGCAACCACGATGATGCTGAGATGTTTACAAAACTCCGAACCGCAGGTGTCTGCGGTGGGGAACGAACGCGCTATTACGCTTTGCGGGTGCTAACGCGTTTCCCACCACACAATGTAGGTCTTTCGCCTCGATAGAACCAGCTGAGAGATAGGCGAAACGAAGAACTCGCAAAGAACCCGCATAGTGTGGTGGTGAACGCGTTAGCCCGGAAAGAGTGATAGCGCGTTCGTTCCCCATTTCAGACACATGCGGTCCGGAATTTTGCAAACATCTCAGCATCATTGTGGTTGTAACACACATAATCCTCTGCTGTAAAAAGCTGAAGTAGGCAATAAATAAAAAGTTAACACTGTCTATAACCTCTAGCCACTGTCGGCTCACGCCACTGTTTGGAATCATAGATAGAGTGTAACTAAGAATTATATGTGTTATGCTGTTGATCAACACAGGCATCACCATTAAATGTCATATTAGCTAGAGTTACTGAAAATAGAGATATTTAAGTAAATCTAAAACCTTGAAAGTCTTTTACAATTTTACTTTAGTGCACGAAAAGGTCGTTTGCAAGAAAAACTGGAAAAATTTCTCTTGGAGCAATGCATTTTTACATAGATAAGCGTAACCTAATCAGCGTATCAGCTCACCGCCGACCAGTATTTGTCGTCCCTATCAGTCGTTCCTAGTTTTTTTTTTATGAAGTTTTGATTTTCATTGAGGAAGTCCGTCATTCGGTTACAGTACTGCGTAAAGTTGTTACAGTAATTCATAATTGTGTTTTGGATATGGTAGTGTAAAACCACTCGAGATTGTAAGCCTGAAATCATTCACGACATTCATTGATTTCAGTACTAAATCATAGGAGAAATACACAAGATATAATAAGATGGTCACCTTCAAGATATCCAGCTGCGTAAGCTTGAAGTTCGGGATCAAATCGTGATTGAGTTTCGATTTCAAGGAATGTCCATCTTAAGTACAAAATACTTTTTTAACATTAGTTATTTATCGTCTTAAAGCAATAAATGTCTCCAAATAATGATTTTTATCTGAGCTATCTCAACTATATATGAAAATAAGCATAAAAAACATATTTTTAAAGCTTTCTAGTAAATCCATAGGGTTCTTATCGATTAACGTTTTTAACGTGCTAACATTGAGATATGAAAAATATTAAAACAGGTTCGTAGTACTAATTAAGTTAAAGTGATAAAGTGTTATGCTACCATGACAAAAGGTCGAACTAATTGAGCATCCGAGTGAGGTTCATACCAGTTAAATTTTTTTGTTATTTTACTTTTATTTTTTGCTACTTCATTTGGTTCCAGTGCGTTTAATCTAGGAAAACTTTAATCCTTTAGTAAGGACATCGATACACTGGAGCAGTTGCTGAACTGCCTTAAAAGTTAACAACAAAAGCAAACTTGGTCAAGAATCAAAAAAACTCAACGGACCCGGTGGTATTCACAGAATTCCGCCATTTTGCGGCAGCTACCTGTTGTCGGCAATCGAATCCTAAAGGGTTTATAATACTGCTCGAACATTGCATCTACATCGACCTCAAGTTAATGACCAGTGTAAAAGTTCACCAAAAGCTTTGAGTGAGTAAAAGAAAGGTGGAATATTGGAAATTTCATGAGTGATTTTGCTGCTACAAGAAAGATGCTACAGTTGAAAGTTTGTTTTCTGTTTGACGGTTTATTTATAATTCCAGCAGTTACGGTAGAAGCCCTCATTTGTGAGCATACTAGAATTGGAGAGGCGAGTGTAACAAAGCGGTAATAGGCTCCTACAAATACACAAGCAGCTGCTGGCTCTAACACGAGCTTCCGTGCCCACCAAGCTCATCTTCGGCTCGAGGTCGCCAAATTGATAGCGAACTGGTATGATGCGACAAATCACTGATTTCATAGGATAGTGCATGCATTCTGTATACCAAATGAAGATTTATAAAGACACAATTTTCGTGTTTCACTCCTTATTAGCGTTTAACGATGCTTAGTAGTGTTGAATGCCAGCGGAGATCCGTCAGAGATTGGTCAACACCGAATGGTTTATCCTCACAACAGAACTCTTCCCTCTAGAATTTAAATTTTTCTTTAGGTTGTTTTCGGGTCTACAGAAGGAATGCTGCTTATTTATTGTTGTCGAATGTTTCTCAATTACTCGCGCAAATGCCCCAAAGTTTGATATTGAAAATTTGTTCAAAATGTTATGCAAAAGCAGAATTCATTGTGATTTTCGATATTTTAACACATTAGATGAAACATCAACTCTTTCAACTACATCAAAGAATGGAGCTACTGTTTTTGTTTTCTTTAAAAAATCTGCTGGTTTGTTGAAGTATGAGCAAGCTTCTAATAAGTCCATGTGGACCTTGATCTCGATCGATTGTATAGCACAACAGAAACATTCTTCACAAAGAGAAGAATGAAGCGTTTGGCTTCGATCAATCCCTTAGAAAATCACCACGCATTTGACTCAACTCCTAGCATTTTGAAAATGATTGAACAAATATTTGCACAATAAGTAGTGATGCCCTAACAATACATTACTTCTGCGTTTTCGTGCCCTTAGAGAAATCTGGCAGCACTTTACCAACAATGGACGGATGAGGGCTTGGTGAACACAGGTTAAGGAACGATGCAATGTCTATGTATGTGAGGGACTTCTCTACCCACTGGGCCACATACGATCATTGACTAACTGACACACCGTGAAGAACTGTCAGCTTTCCATCTACGATGCACATTTGGTTGTATGTGTATCGCTCATCCTTTCCCTCACTCATCGCACTTCCGTAGCCTTGAAGAACTCAGCGTTAATTTGAAAAATGCAAAGAATTGCATAATAGTAAACAAATATGTACTGCTAGTTTGTACGGAAGGTCGTAGTGATTATTCCAGAGCTTACCACAAAGAACTAGGATGATCGACAGAATTGTGGACAGCATTACGGCACCGGTGAAACGAATGAATCTCCACTGTTATCTAATTTTCGTGTTCCACTCCTTATCAAACAACCCGATATCTCCTCTCATAGGAATAAACTGCATAGTTGCCTGAATTATGGCTGGAGAATCATAGTAATTTGTTAAACATATGGCAAGAAAAGTGAAGAAGAAGCTGTGGCGCCTTTTTAAATTCAGCTGTTAAATAGTTCAAGACGGCTAGCAACCGATTTTTAGAAGCATTAACTAGTTCTTTTCGACAGAGAAATGACTTGTCTTCGACGGTTTTAGGCAGAATTTGTTCTTTTCTTTAAGAATTTTTGAGCTCAATCTTCAATATAGATAGGAAACTACTGTATTGATAAAAGATCGAAAGAATTTGGATAACAGCAAGCACGTTGAGTAGTAGAGAAGGCGCAAAATCCATATTTTACTTATTCATTTTTTCTTCTTTAGACGGTTTTATACTATGCCGATCCTAGGATTTCTTAAATTCGATTCGTTTTCTCGCATATTTTGTTTGCAAAGGTTTTCAGATTTCGTGTTTAGATCACACTGCTGCTGATTGAGGAATTGTGGGCTTCCTCATAAATGTCGTTGAATATTGGTCGATTTGATTCTCTCGATTCTCTCTGCAATCCTGGTATACCTATAATAGGAGGCCCTCAGGCATTCAACACAGGCATTCTCTGGTTTTTGTCGAATAAACAGAGTTGCTCCTACACTGATCTGGTACAAATTTGCCGACATTCGAGAGAAAAATGCAAAGTGGCTAGAAAAAAAGACGAATGCAGTTGGCTATGTTTTCCACAACAGTGAAAAGCCACATAGTTTTCAGATTTTTGCACCTCTTCTGCTTTCTTTAACAAAAATTCTAGCTCTGAGGAATAATTTCATTAAGTTGCTGAAAAGGGTTTTCTATTCACTTCTCGGCCTGAAGGAAATATCTTGCCTCGTTTTCGTTAAGCAATGATAAGTAAGTAGGCAGTGATCCGAAGCATGCATCATTTCCGCTTTAGTCGATTGGTTGAGGCAAAATGCTATTCACATCCCAGTTAACTTCACGGCTGGCTCGATGCACCATAGTTGAGTTTACCTTTTTTTCGTTTTTTTCCTTAACAACAGTTTATGTCGCACATTCGGAGTAACTGATGGAATAGTGACTAAACTGAGTATGAAGGAAGAACAAAAAAGTGTGAAAAAACTACGACAACAATGACTACCTTTGCTTTCGCAACATGAAATTCCTAGTGAAACTCAATTTCGCTCCAAAATTAAATGTGATCTTCTCATTTTTACATGACATATAGGAGAAATAAAATTGTCGAACCAATAAAAAGAAGTCACTGTTTCACCTCTTCGAAAAGGATATTTTGGAAGTTAAATGAAAAGTTAAAAAGTTCGTACTTCTTAGAACATGGACACATTCAATCCCATGCTTGGTTGCAATAGCCCCGTTCAAAAGGCTACCTCCTTTCCTCGTTTCTTTTCATTCTCTAACTTTAAGCTTTAACATAACCACACTCTTCCTCCGTTTGTTTTTCGAAACACTTTTTGTGCAAAATAACCATATTATGTACATCGATTTAGTGAAAGAATTTCGCTAGACTTTAATCACCTACACATGTCAGTTTTAATCCTTAAAGCAACAGAATTTCTTTGACATTAACTGCGAATTTCTCCCACAATTCTCTATAACATCATCAAGGCTGGAAAGCTCCTTTGTATCCACTGCTATCTACTGCGAAAGTTTGTCCTCAGTAGGGTCTGCAAGCTGAGCGGTCCGACATTTTCATCCAGAAGCCCAACTAAGAGTGAATTAGTGCTAAGAAATACCGTTAAGCAGTTAACATAGTCACGGACTGGAGAAATTCGAGCAGGGCCTTCCAGATTACAGCGAAGTCTGCCCAGCCAGCAAATTGCCAGTCATGTGGAACTTGTGCTGGTGCCCGCGGCATTCTTCGTGGTTCATGAAGTCTGGTCACTCAAGTATTCAAATAAGTACGAGATTCGACATACGGATACACCATAGTAGTTAAATCGATGCATCACTGCTTAGCTGCTCTTCAAAACCACCATTAGATATCCGATCAGAAAAAGTCTATGCGCAGTAGTATCTCAGTGAAAAAAAGCGACAAAAAGTATCTTTGTCTTTATGAATAACCTTTCAAATGTTTAATAAGTAAACGTCTTTTACAGCCTTACAAAAATCTCCTCATTCCCAAACCTTTAATGAAACACAAGCAATTGAGCAAATAAGATTTCGATAGGAATCTTGACATGTGGAAATCATTCAAATTATTGGTTAAGTAGGATCATCGAAGTTTTCTGGGAACGTCACTTCTCTTGTTCTATTCTCTGTTGACCATGACGAGTTATTTGAAAGCGCTGAAGCCCGTGGTATAATCTCAGTACTTGTCGATCACTGATTGTATCAGTCCTACATGAGGCTTGCAGACGATTGCTTCGAAAATATGGTACAGATGGAGCATTACTTTCTTATTATATACATACGTAGGCTCTCCGACACATACCATCTCATGAATGTTATTCGAAATTACGGAGTTTTTTCTCCCTTTCGTGAACCATATATCATTCTCCTCTTGGCAAGCGAGTGAATGGAGTATTCCATGCATAATTGATCTAAACACCTTAATAATGTCGTTAATTTCGGGCATCATCCACGACGACAAATGTATCAAATTTGTAATCCAACTGAATAAAGCAGACAAAGGAAACAGCGATTGGTGTTGATTAATCTCTGAATGAAGCTCACCACTAAATACTGCAGTAGTTAAACCGTCCACATTTGTTTCAACCATAACTTGTTGAGCTCACCGATACATCAAAACTGTTTTTATCCTTCCAAACAATTTTGCAACCACTTTTCTCATCCCTGAGGGGTGGTAACTGTGTTTTACGCGATGATCGAGTTCGAACCGATGAACACGTATAACAGAAGACCTCTAGCAAATGAGCAACGAGGCCGTTTAGTTCAATGATATCAATGATACATTATGATATAATGATATACTTAAAATCGATCTTAGGACGGATCGATAGTGCAATTGCCCATATCCGTCCAGGAATGTTCATTGAATTCTAGAAAGCTATCTAGTTGCTGTTGGAATACCTCATCTCCACATTTTAAATGTGCTTTTGATTTGAACACAGGGGAAAACTTATTTAGTATTCATTCTAACCACTCATCTCATTAGACAACTTTTTATCAACCCAGAATCAAGGTTGAAATCCTTGAAATCCTTTTCACTTTTGAAAAAAACGATGTCTGTCTGTTTATGAGATGTGAGAGTATTCAATTTTCACTCATTCATATTTTTAGTTCTAATATTAGACTTATTAAAATCTCAATATAATGTGATTCATCACTTTGAAGGTCAGAAATAGAAATAAGCAAGCAACTGATGATAGAATGAAAAGATACGAATGGATTTCGTCACTGAGAATCCAGTAATAGAGTCATTCTTTAAAAAAAAACCTAACCCGTTCTGTCTTTACATCTTGCCTATTCGAGGCATTCCACTTTGTGGAATATTACGGTGATGTTCATATAAATGTGTTTAGGACAATTTCCTTAT